ACAGAAATGAGTACCAAAAATCTTCCTGGGGGGGGGGGTAAAGGGTAAGGCTGACAGCTACACCAGAAAATGTGGGAACCTCAACATCTCACAACCTTATGGGCCTCCACGGCCTGTTACAGGGATTGCTTTACCTTCACCAGGAAGACATGTAGGGAAGTGTTGGCTCAGTTCCATGCATTCTCAAACCTGATACTAGATAAGAGGTGAGTTCTCAACTTCAATCCCAGGACAGGAGGCTAGGTGAGCTCCAATAATAGTCTGGACATGTTGAGCCAGGAATAGAACCCTGATCCCCTAGTCATTATATTGACTGAGCTGTCCTGCATTTATGTACTATGTTCTAGCATGTCATACAAGAAAAAGACATTCAATTTTATCATGTGGTACTGAGTTGGATGTTGCAAACATCCAGTGACGGAGTTCGATGAAATTTGGGTCATACTGGTTAAGTCAGTACATTTTACATTATTGGTTTACCTAATGACTTTCCTGGGGATAGGTATGTATGGTGGTGTGGAATGTGCACTTGACTGACACATGATTATAAATTTGATAATGGGAATTCTAACTGAACTGTGAGGCTCTTCAAGGCCTAACTATTAAAAGTGAACTTGCATTTGCATTAAGCAACTAAATGTTTGGGTTGCACAGCAGTATAATAAGCGCACAAGATTATTGTTGTGTTGCACCATGCAATTCATAAACTTGTCAACATACCAAACTTAAACCTGTACCTCATCTTCACTTACCTTGAGGACTGACAATCACAAATACCACCATGTTTCTCTAGCTCAAGCAAAATCTTGTCTTTGTCTGGGAACTCCGTTGTAGACTGCAAAGAAAACATGTTTACAGTTCTTTGATAATAAAGTGAGCACTTACATTCTATACTTAACATATTTAGAAAATTTATCAACCTACATTGAATGCCAATTTTTCTAGAAAGTGTGAAACACCACTAGGATATGCCACTTCATATCTTGACCCGGAATCAACAACAACTGTAAAGAAATAATTAATTAGGTGCACTGTACATCACCATAATGTCAATATTACAATGAAGCTTATTAGGCCACCAATCCTTGCCTCCAATTGTGCAGAACTGTCCAAATCGATTCTCTGATGCAACTTGTAATCCATTGCTTAATGTTGTTACTTGCGTAAAATGTTGCTTGTCTTTCGATGTTGCATATACTGGAGTTGGAAGACCTGGTAATGAATGTGTTAGTGGAGGCTGAGTTGATGATTTACTCTCAGCAGCAACTGGAGCTGACTTTGTAGTTGGAATGGTAGAACTACATTTCCTCCATCCCTGCCAGGTTAGACCTGTGCTCGATCCCCTATGCAAATTATATATATGTTATTGCTGAATAAGTACAACAGGTCATGCGTCACGGACATCCGTAAAATGAAAATTAAATTGTACTGCGCACGTGGGAATAATATTCCATACGAATGGAGGTTATGAAACCAAAACATCTATTTCCACAGTAACTTCCTACATAATCACGTTTCTCATTTAACTTACGAATGGTTCTTTAGTAGATTTGTCCCAATTCTATGTAGACCAGATCGCCCAACCATTATTTTATTCCGCAGATATTTATATCAAATTATTCCTCCTCCTTTCCTACTTAGAGATGTTAGAGATGGTGATCAGTCAAGAGTGCCAACACATCTTTTTCATCCACTGGACGAAAGTTCCCATCTTTCTCTACTTCGGCACCGACTATAAGGAGTTTAAGACACTATGACATATAACCTGCGTATACTGCCATCTGGCTGGAAGAATGTAACTACAACATGATTTACTGTTGAAGCTGTTGAACGACTGGAAAGCGGGAGGGGCGGTGTGTGGCAGTCTGTGGCGGTCTGTAGCTCGAAATAGCGAATACCAGAGAAATGGAGTGTAGTTACGTTCGTGCAGTGACGATGGACTGAAGTTATGGTGGATTAATTAGATTAAAATATTATGAACAAGGATTAATATGTCCATATACGGGTCTAGGTGCCTTTCTGGTAAGTAGCTGTTAATATTCCTCTAGTTTTTAACACGTATGACTTGTGAAAGCTCACCTGTGAATCGAAGTGGACAGGTGTTACAGAGAATACCTGTGTGGGACAACAGAGCTGAGTCAGAAGCGCGGAATGTCTCTATTCGCAAATGAGTGTATCTGTTTTATGCTTACAGTAATTTCTTTCGTCTGTAATATCTTGCAATATCCAAAAATTTTGGAAGACCACGAGGCAGAGGTTCATTGCGATGTGTGCTATTTGATATACAAGTGTGGTTCTGTATTATAATCGCGAAGAAGAACGGTTGAAGTGTGATTAGCGTTTGTTTTGTGCGTTGGCATAGAAACAAAGAATTGCATTGATTTGTTATGTATGAGAAGGAAATGTGACAATTGTGAATTTGAAAATAATATGTGACGGGAAGTTTGAATTCGTGCTTTGTATTCGGAAGGTTTCGGAGACCAATATCGGCCCGGACACAAGGTGTCGTGACAGGTTTTCGTGGTGTTCCTCAGCCATTCTAGACAAACATCGGAGTAGTAGTAATATAGGGCATAATCGCTTCCTTCAGCATGTTTTCCAGTTCCTGCTTCACAATCGTTTTTCTACGTAATGCTATATAGCTCGCGTAATTGAAAGAATACCATTAAATGAATTAAAAATAAAATACTGCTCTCTAGGCTGTAATCTTTGAAGTAATGGATAAATAAAACGAATAATTATTTTTAATGATTAAAGTGGAATATAACTGAATACTCTCCGCTGTATGAATTGCACCCTCACAATTTTTATTATAATTTTCGCCGGGAATAATTATTTACATCTAAATGTGTCAAGCTTCGGCATTTGGGGCCAGGTCACGCCAAATATTGAGGGCATTCCAACATTTCGGCAAGCCCAGTAATTGCCGTCTTTAGAGTGAATTACTTTTTTGAGAGGTTGGTAGCTGTTACGTAGCTCCCGCACTAGGCAGTGTTTTCATAGTTCAATTTGTGCCGGAACTCCATTCCGGCGCATGTATATGCTTCCCATTTGGTTCCTTTTTCTTCTGAAAGAAAACAAGGTAAAGTTGTCCCTGTGCGTAACTAATTAAGACCTATGGGGACTGGAAGTACATATCCACATATTCTTGACCTCGGCACTATTATTATTATTATTATT